TCTTCTAGTATTCATCTGTTACTGCATTATATAAATTAGAGCCAAGAGCAAGCTACAGTATTTTGTATAAATTTTAGTTGGGGAGAATATTCAGGTTTTTTCTTACTTTTCTTTTAAGTTCTTAGTATTGAGTACTTAAGTCTCTAACTGAAACACAAATAGGCAATTAAGTCAATATCTTTTTGTGTTACTGTTGATATTTACGTTAATTGTTATGAATGTAGCTTTAATTAATGCCATTCAATTGAGGCTAATTAGAATTTTAATGTGAAAATATTTACTCTAAACACAGTTGATACTTGTAAAGGTCACTACTAATCATGTAATAAATGTAAACACAATAGAAAGAAAGAAAGAAAGAAAGAAAGAAAGAAAGAAAGAAAGAAAGAGAGAAAGAAAGAAAGAAAGAAAGAAAGAAAGAAAGAAAGAAAGAAAGAAAGAAAGAAAGAAAGAAAGTTAAACAGACAGATAGACAGACAAAAAAATAATATTTGAGAAATTTCTAAAGTGAGTCATTATTACTGCAACACACATACATATAAACAAACTGGACTTCAGAACTATCAAGAGTTGCAGCAACAAATTATTAATGAAAACTGAATAACAGACAGAACCAAAAGATAACACTCTTTAGGGTAGATAAAGCAGAGTAGCAGCGCCGAGGGGAGAAAATAACATAAACTGTACAAGAAAAAGAACTCATTCATAACAAACACAAGGATTATTACAGCCTAATCTCCCTGAATCAGCTAAACCAACAAGGGACATTTCTCAAGTTAGTTTGCATGACATCACTCAGAATAATTGTATCACGACCATTGTTTCCTGGTGTCAAGAGTCATAAGCTTTTGTGATTTTAGTTGTTGTTTCTCTTCCTTGTAAACATAATGGGATGCATTTAATTTGTTTGACAAAAATGTTAATATGTATATAAATATTAATAAAATATGGTGTGTGTGTGTGTGTGTGTGTGTGTGTGTAATAATAATAATAATAATAATAATAATAATAATAATAATAATAATAATAATAATAATAATATTAATAATAATAATAATAATAATAATAATAATAATAATAATAATAATAATAATAATAATAATAATAATATTAATAATAATAATAATAATAATAATAAACGGTTTACTGAAAACGTTTGCAGCCCGAAGGCTGAAAATATACATTGGACATGAATGACTTATTACATACATTGGTGGTTTAACAAAAGCCTTCATTAGAGAAAGGTGAAGGAACATACAGTGAACATACAGATTAATGTTTACACACGTAGATCATGTGAGCTGAGGTGTTGAACAGCAGACACGTAGTGTAGTGTGTGTGTGTGTGTGTGTGTGTGTGTGTGTGTGTGTGCCCTGCAGTTTTTTGTTACACACGTATATTTGTTATACTGTACAAGTTATATATAAATCAGAGACTATGCTGAACACAACTGTTTCCTGCAGCCATCCACAGAGGTAGTTAACCTGCTGTCTGAACTTACTCCAGGTTTTTCTTACACACTTTTTGATCTCATGAAAGTTCCGATATATAAATATATATATATATATATATATATATAATCTTATCTTTTTTGTATGTTATGTAATTTTTATCATCTCAGATTATTGATTCAAGTTTATAACAATCTTAATGTTTTCTTCAGGCACGTCTCATTATGTTTCTTCATCAGATATTTAAATAAATTGTTTCTCAACTAACTGACTGACCGACTATCTGACTCACTGGCTTAAGCATTCAATGACACTTTTTGCTCTGTGAGAACCAACCATCCTCTTGACCACACTGAGAAACTGATTATAGAATCAGTTTCTAGTCACCCTTGTATACCAAACCACCTATTAACATAAACAATATTAACTGTGATGACGATGTTGCTTACATACATCACTCTCGTGTCCTATAGTCGTGTTCATAATTTTTTTACCTCAATTAATTTAAACCAAAAATGTCTTCACATGACGTAAAAATTATCGTATCGGGCAAATACATTTCAATATTTTTTTACTAATACGTTTCTAGTCGTTATATCTCTTGTATTTATATATACTATAGGTAATTAAAACTCACCATTAATAAAGGAATAAGAAAATATTAAACAAACAAATAAATATCGTCATTCATAAATAGAAAATTATATAATAAATCCTGATACGCTCTGCACCAGAAACGCAAAAACACAAACAATAAATAGAGAGATAACAGCTAACGACGTAACGCACAGACAAAGAAAGCCAATGATAAACGACTCAACACACAGGTATTTCTCTCCCCACACACAGAACCGTGGTTGGCTATAACAAGTGTGAAAGACAGACAACGAGTGACATAGATCCCCACACCTCTACCTGTCTTTAGCCAGTAATAATCCGTGCCCTAATTTACAATAATGGAACGATATTAGCAAACCATAAAGTGCTCAGTATAAGTGCGACGTAATGATTTATGTAATTTACTCACGGGAAAAAACTGTAAATTGGAAATCCGTCCCGATAAAAAGTTAAATCTCCTCGTTTGATGTTAATTCATTTCCAGTCTGGCGATGATCCTACTGCACTAGGCTTTTATTATTTATTATTATTATTATTATTATTATTATTATTACTATTATTATTATTATTATTATTATTATTATTATTATTATTATTATTATTATTATTATTATTATTATTATTATTATTATTATTATTATTATTTTGCGGGAGACAGGGGGACTAGAGTTAACCCATCACCACAATCGTCATTTATTAACATATTACCTTAACAAGTGTTTTACAGTGACGTCATTAGCACTCGACAGCTCCCCAAGTCCCCAAACCCCCAGTATCATCCTCTCCCCTCCCACCTCACCCTCCCACCCTCCCTCGCTACACCTCCGTCGCCTTAAGTGGCAGAACTACTTAACTTACCTTGATCTACGCCCGGCATTATTCTTCGTACGGAGGCTCAGGCATTACGCAGATGTTGGCGTTCCTGCAGGGCATAATTTGTTCCGCTATTATACGCGTGCTAGCATACAAAGACGTCAAGATAATCTCTTCCTCGCTCCCCAAGCAGAGGGACCATCCATCTTCCACCTTCCCCTCCCCCATCACTCCCCGGCTCCCACCCTCCCCGTCACTCCCCTCCCACCCTTCCCCATCATTCCTCCTCCCACCCTTCCCCATCATTCCTCCTCCCACCCTTCCCCATCATTCCTCCTCCCCGCCACCCATCCTCCACCTCCCCACCCCTCCCCCCGTCACTTCCCCCTCCCATCCTCCCCATTATTCCCCTCCCCACCCCTTCCCCAACCTCCTCTCGTCACCCCGTCACTCCCGGCTCCCACCCCCCCTCACTTCCTCCCTCTTTCCCCATCATTCCCTCTCCCACCCCTTACCCTTCACTCCCCTCCACCCTCCCCGTCTCTCCCCTCCCACCCCTCCTTGTCCTCCCCTTCCCACCCTTCCCATCGCTCTCTCTCCCCCTATCCCCGTGATGGATAGTCAAGGGGGCAACCCAAAAGTTCAACTAAAGTGCTGCTCGTCTTGTAAAAGTGATAGTTTAAGCGCATGGCAATTTGAACAGCGTAAGGGAAGGGAAGGGAAGGAAGATATGGATCTGTTGGGTAGGAAGGAAATATTTATTGGCATGAAAGAATGGCGTTGGTCCGGTGGGCAGGGAAGGGGTATAGAAAGAGAAGCAACGAAAACATAAAAAAAGACAGAGAGAAAAAACAGACACACAGAGAAAGAGAGAGTGAGAGGATTAACATAATTAGACACAGTAAAGAACAAATAACAAGACAGACGAAGACAAACACACACACACACACAAACACACACACACACACACACACACACACACACACACACACACACAAACACACACACACACACAAACAAGACTACAAATATCCAGACAAGACGAAAAGAGCAAAAAATTACAACAGGCACAACGTTCCATGGGAAACAGACGGGACGTACAAGGTGAAAACCCTCTCTGGATATTTGCGTGTGTGAGTGAGTAATGTGAGTTGTCTCTGGCGGACGAACACACGGGATAAACACCACATACATCTTCATTCCTTAATTACCTCGTAAGTAACATCACAGGACAGTTTATGCTGGTACCTGCAGCTCACCACTCAGGTGATGCCTAGCGTACGTGTCTTGTCGCTTTTAAGACAAAATAATAATTTATAAAAAACAGACGTTTACTTAGCCAGATTATATGTTTCTGTTAAAAAAAATGAATGTTTCTCTTCACATTAATTCAACTAAATATAATTTATTTCCTTTCGTTCTCTCTCTCTCTCTCTCTCTCTCTCTCTCTCTCTCTCTCTCTCTCTCTCTCTCTCTCTCTCTCTCTCTCAGTGGTATTTAGAACATTTCATAATTATAACTGTAACTGCCGCAGGCCACTGAGTATGACGCCCCCAGTCACCTCAGTTTCAGAACGTGTACCTAACAATACAGAGGATGAAGTGAAACACGGCAGAGAGTAGTGCCGGCCACGCTGCCATCTTTTGTACCAAAGGCTTAGTATGCAGTATGCTATGTTCACACCGCCCATACACTTTATATCCGTTAATCCCATGGACAACACTTTCATTGTGAACGAGAAAAACTTTCAATAAACCTGAAAGTTATACTGAGTTTAGTCAATAAGTTGTTCATCGACGGGTTCCATAGTTTGGGTTGGCATAAAGTTTGTATATACCTAAGAATTGTTCTTATCATTCGTAGTCAGATGAAAATGTAGACAAAAAATCAGAAAAGAAAAATAACGGCCCATTTAATATATATATATATATATATATATATATATATATATATATATATATATATATATATATATATATATATATATATATATACGTATTGCACAAACAAAGTAAAAGAGCGAGAGAGATAGAGAGGAGTAATGCCAACATAGACCAGGAGAATCCATTTCAATAGTTCTAGAAATAGGTTACAAATAATATAAGGGCACAACACCAGCGTTTCACCAGCACCCTGCAGGACACTGTGTACCGCACCAGAACCCTGCAGGACACTGTGTACCGCAACAGCACCCTGCACGACACTGTGTACCGCACCAGCACCCTGCACGACACTGTGTACCGCACCAGCACCCTGCAGGACACTGTGTGCCGCACCAGCACCCTGCAGGACACTGTGTACCGCATCAGCACCTTGCAGGACACTGTGTACCACACCAGCACCCTGCAGGACACAATGTGCCACACCCGGCACCCTGCACGACACTGTGTACCGCACCAGCACCCTGCACGACACTGTGTACAGGACCAGCACCCTGCACGACACTGTGGCTGCCACCAGCACCCTGCGGGACACCATGTGCCGCATCAACATGCGGGACACTGTGTACCGCACCGGTACCCTGCAGGACACCAATGTACCGCACCAGCACCCTGCACGACACTGTGTACCGCACCAGCACCCACCACGTTTTACTGTGTACCACGCCGCGCCCGCCGGGTTACCTGTGTGCCACCAGCACCCTGCAAGGCACTGTGTGCCTCACCAGCACCCTGCAGGACACTGCGTGCCGCACCAGCACCCTGCAGGACACTGTGTACCGCATCAGCACCCTGCAGGACACTGTGAACTGCACCAGCACCCTGCAGGACACTGTGTACCACCAGCACCCTGCACGACACTGTGTACAGCACCAGCACCCTGCACGACACTGTGTGCCGCACCAGCACCCTGCACGACACTGTGTACCGCAGCACCGGGACACTGTGTGTGCACCAGCACCCTGCAGGTTGCTGTACCGCACCAGCACCCTGCACAGGACACTGTGTGCGCGCCAGCACCCTGCACGACACTGTGTGTGCCGCACCAGCACCTGCAGGGACACAGTGTGCCGCACCAACTTCCCTGCACGACACTGTGTACCGCACCAGCACCCTGCACGACACTGTGCCGCACCAGCACCCTGCGACACTGTGTACCGCACCAGCACCCACCGCACTGTGTACCGCATCAGCCTGCAGGACATTGTGTACCGCACCAGGACTCTACGGGACACATGTACCACGCCAGCACCCTGCAGGACACTGTGTACCACACAGCGCCCTGCACGACACTGTGTGCACCAGCACCTGCACGATACTGTGCCGCATCCCAGCATATGCAGGACATTGTGTACCGCAGGACTCTGCAGGACACGCGCACCAGCACCCTGCAGGTTGCTGTGTACCGCACCCTGCACGACACTGTGTACCGCACCAGCACCCTGCACGACACTGTGTTCCGCACCCAGCACCCTGCACGACACTGTGCACCGCACCAGCACCCTGCACGACACTGTGTACCGCACCAGCACCCTGCACGACACTGTGTACCGCACCAGCATCCTGCACGACACTGTGTACCGCACCAGCACCCTGCACGACACTGTGTACCGCACCAGCACCCTGCACGACAGTGTGTACCGCACCAGCACCTTGCAGGACACAGTGTACCGCCCGCACCAGCACCCTGCGGGACACAGTGTACCGCGGGTAAATTTCACACAGATATAAAGTCAACATGAGTCGCCTTTTCTCTTATCATTAATTAATGGCTGTGGCAAAAATATGACGTTGAAATTTAAGGAAAATCCAAAGACTTGATTTATAGAATAGTTCTTCCTTAGTTTGCGTGTTATTTAAGCAATAATGTGGACAATAACAAAGTTAAATTGGGTAAGTCTTAAGTTTGCTGGAAGTGGGGACAAGGGTCGGATGATTTCTTCCCTTATCTGAGCGTCCCAAACTCAACTCCTCGGAAAGACACTTCAATCATCCAGGCTAATTTCGCATTTTAAGTATTTAAATTTATTCCCCGCATTCCAAGATTTCTTTAGGACCTAGAAATAATAATCATGTAATAATGTATTTTATTCATAAGACTAATACGTTCACACACACACACACATATACACACACACACACACACACACACACACACACACACACACACACACACACACACACACACACACACACACACACACACACACACACACACACACACACACACACACACACACACACATTACCGTATACTGTTATTTCGATACAGATGGTAATTATATGTTCACAATAAAACAAACTTATGCTTAACACAATGAAAATATTATATTTCGTTAACGGGTAAATTGATGACAATTAATCAAAGTTGTCCACCGTAAACACTGTTAGGAAGTAAATTGGGAACGAATTTTCAAATATATCTGTGGTTAGTTTAGAACTCATCTGAGTTTGGCTGCAGAGACTCCGGTAGTGGGTTGAACACTCACAGACATTTATTCGAAAGCTTACACTAACGTATTGTATATACAGTACATGTTAGACATTACGAATTTTCCTTTTTCACGTGAGGATATAACAGATATTCTTCTGAACCTTTTTCACATTAATTACAGTACTCGTCCTCTTTTGTAAGAGTAACTGATCGGCGTCCGCGGCTCCCTAAGTCCACCCAGCTGTAAATGGTGCCTAATTTTACAGTTGGAGAAGTGAAGGCGGTTAAGTGCAGTGTCAGACAAATAGTACCGAACAAAGCCTTAGTCTATAGTGTGCGATATTAACACTGATCCTACGGGACCCACTTCCACAATCCCAGATCATTATATTAACGTTATGGGTTATATAACACATTGATCAGTGTGTATAAAAGATTTCTATTGTGTTGGTATTTGGGAAATAAAATAATCGTTGAAATAATGAATCTGTAAATCATGGCAGGCTGTGTGTGTGTGTGTGTGTGTGTGTGTAATAATAATACTAAACGGTTAATTAATAGAGTTGCAGCCGGTGGCTGAAAATATACAGACTTACATTTGATTTAGACTTAATGATATAATATGCGTTGAACACATTTACAGGGCTGTACAGTACATAAATCAGGAGCTGTTTATTATTTTAACAATAGATGGAATAGTGCTATTCTTATATCTATCGGTGCGGGGGCTCTTATGGGCTGAATTTTGTTGTAGTGGCGGACTGCGCGAGGTGGGTAGGGGGCTGCCGGTGGCAGGAGGTGGCGAGTGTGTGTGTGTGTGTGTGTTTAGATGTGTGTGTGTGTGTGTGTATATGTGTGTGTGTAGGTGTGTGTGTGTGTGTGTGTGTGTGTGTGTGTGTGTGTGTGTGTGTGTGTAGGTGTGTGTGTATGTGTGTGTGTAGGTGTGTGTGTGTGTGTGTGTGTGTGTGTGTGGGTGTATGTGTGTGTGTGTCTTTTATACAAACAAATACACGCATCACAAACACGCATACACCCCAAACTAAACCCACTCACACCCATACACACCCCAAAGTACACACACACACACACACACACTTTTCGTTTAAGAATATTAAGCCTATGTTCCCTGAATAAGTAATGAACTTTCGGTACGTTTGCCAGCATCTGAGTTACACTCCCCACCCCAATTTGAGAGTCACACGAGACCCTCTTTACGAAAATACATATGATCTCTTTGACCAGAAAAGATGCCTGTGTACAATCCTAATTTAGTGCTGAGCCGTAAGTTAGGGAGGATCTTCGCATCAAGAAATTTAAACGTAGCAGAACAAGGGGGCTCCAAGTGGCTCATCACGGAAAACCCAACAAATCTCCCCAAATTACCTCTTCAGTAGAATACCCAAGAGTCGATGTTCCTATATCAGGCAATGAAACTCTGATCCTTTGGCATTATTGGACGTAGGACCTTACAGAGTTTTTCCAGGGAGACTCACTTAAGTTTATTGCATTGGAAGGAAGTTTTGTCTGCATTTATGGCGTGCTATATCATCGAGTTGATTAAGGAGGTGAATAACTCGGCACTGTTATTACCTTATTGGACTCTTGGACACATAAACCTAGAGAAAACTATGTGTGTGTGTGTGTGAGTATACATGTAATAGTATATGTGACTATATAAGTAATGGGGTTTCTAGAGACCAGAACGAATGAAGGAATATGTCAGTTCTGTGAAGGTATCTTTTTCTATAGTGAGTTGTTAGCAAATGCAAATAGTTTATCATCGACATAACACGTAGAGTATTTTTTGTTGCTCTTAACATTAAAGTTCTGGGGTTTATATACAGTAGGCCTATACTATACATTTTTCCTATTTACACGATATCAAAAATAGAAAACACATAAATATGCAGTAGGATAACATCACAATTAAACGCAACAAAACTGAAAGGAAAAAAATATGAGCGAGGAAGCAGCGTCAATACTCAGCCACTTTTATCTCATTGAAAAGAAAACGCGACTGGCGGGTAATCGTCCCATTCTGATACAGGAGACTTTTTTCATTAGTGGCCATCTCCATTATGAAAACGTTCTCATTACCGCTGTATTTACATTATTAAACCATTCACGTTGGTGGTGGCGCAATTTACATTTACAGGGCACACGAGGAAAAAGGCAATTTGAGAGAGCATTTTTCCAATAAATTAGTAAAGTGGAAATTCATGTTGTTTTAATAGATACAGGTGTATTGAATCCAACCAGTTAAGTGTTTTAATTCTATTGTGCCAGAGTCGTGTATAACATTTATTGGCCTAAATAATGAGTAGCAAGTTCTGCCTGCCTGACTAAGGAGGAAATTCTTAGACCAATTACGCGTTTCTTAACAATCTAACTAATTGTCTAGCATTGTTTCGCTGCCACCAGCGTAAATAATATTATATAACCATATTTCTATTTGTAATAAGGCGAAGATGTAGGGTTGTGTGTTCATATATGATTCATGAAATTCCTTGATTCGTGAAATTTAACTCTCTATGCCCAAGGCGCCCAAAATCAAGACAAACAATTTCCCGTCACTTGCTGTTATTTCTTCTCTCTGACTACCTTATAAGAATATGGTCTGCTATGGGGCTGCTCCTCCACAACAACCTCCTTGACGTTCATCTAGTTGGCTTCTTTTAATGCCTTCATTACACCAGCAATACACATCAACCTACGCAACTGAATTTGCGATTGTCATCCCCAGAAATACACACACATCAAAATGCTGAATATAAAGTTAGGTTGACCTGAACTTTAGACAACCAAGCATATATATCCCCTTGTGAATACGTAACCTAACGCTGACGTAACCTGACCTACTTCCCCAAGGAAGTGATGGAGTGTTTAATTACCACATGATATAAGTTAGGGTGTCTCTTCTTCACGTGACCCTAAAGTTTTACATTTCCCCTATTGTAGCGCACTAAAGGCTCCCCTTCGCCATTACAGTATTTCAAATAATATTGATATTTACCGTTTCTGCTAAACTGGAATACAGATTCACATTTTCTATCGTATTATACAAAATCACTCCACTAACCTTTCCAGTACTGCGTTGACACATCTTACAAATCACTCTATATTTGTGAAAGCGATTCTACTGTGAAATTTATCCCAGATTAATATGACACCAATACTCTACAGTTTTCCCACGACATTTACTTTTCTCTCGGGAAAAAAATCCTCTTAATCGACCCCGTCAAGAATTGTTCCACGTAGTAACTTTTTTTTTTCTCACAAATAGATTTATGTCTCTTAACATATTTTCAAAAACTTACCTTCTAATTTTCCTTACCTTTTGAGATAAGTCATTTATTCTCTAGAATTGTTCCCACACCGACCATTGTGGCGCATCGGTCTCTTGTTTTGTGTATACATATGAGCCAATTACCTCTAAATTTGGTCATTAGTACTGTACTTTGTTACCTATTTATAAAATATCTGTAAATGACGAATTTAATTACAACAGGAAAATAATCTGGCAACACAATAGATTGAACGTGATTGATAAGTCGGGGTAAATATATCTGTTTTAAAAAGTATCAGTAACAAATAAGACACTGACTGAATGCTCTCAGGACATGAATCAAAGATGGTTATGCTGTCCTTCAGTCGTTCCACTTGACCAAAAATGTAACAATAATACTCGGTTTTAGGTGCAGTCATCTTGCACGTGAACACAATAAACCTGACCGATGTGCCTCAATGGTGTCTATAGGTGAAAATATTAATGTCTCAAGAAATAGCAACAAATAGCAACTAATTATTTTCTGGGAAGATTAACACGACATGTACACACCTAAGGGCATATGTTATACCAGGGAGCAACGTCAAACTTAATCTACCGAGACCGATTTCTATAGAACTTAGCGGAGTAATTAATGTCCTGGATGGGGATATAATAAGACCATCATATTACTCTGAATATGTCCCAAAGTATAATTTACTCCTACCAACACAAAGTACAACATCTAAACCCCCTTCTTACAACAAAATTCACCCTTCATGAGTGGCTGTCTGTAAGTCTGACAGTGATTTGTTTCATGTGTCAGCGCTGTGCAGGGAAGATCCATTGAGGGAGGTGGTAACATATGAAGCTATATCTCAATTTAATACCAATCAAATGGGTTCAAAATCTTCTGCAAGAGCGCCTTGATGCACGAACAAACCAAGTTAAATAAACATCGCCACTTTTACAACGCTTTACATGTTAAAATAAAAGTATAAGTGCACAAAT